AAGGCATTTTACCCAACCTTTACAAAAGGAAAATCCAGTGGTTATTTTCAGAATGTTACCTATGGGGACTTCCACTCTGACCAAGATGGAGTCACAGAGTCTGGACTTGCTCTTCTTGCTGCAACGGCCCCCCAAAAACAGAGCAAATACACGAAAACAACAGCAGCCAAGACTCTCACAAGAAAGCGATCCCTGAGGGATGGGAAACATCAAGAAAAGCCCTAAAATTGCCACAGGGTCCTGTTACAAGTTTCCAGGCCATGGGACAGGGAGAGAACACTGAGGCGGAGCTGGGAGGACTCCGTGAGCAGAGGAGAGATCAGAGTCTGAGCTTTGTTTTGAGAATGCCTCCCAAAGTGCTGGGATTACAGGTGTAAGCCACTGCACCCGGCCCATGCTTGGCTGATGTTTAAACATTTTCTGTAGATGAGGTCTCACCATGTTGCCCAAGATGGTCTCAAACTCTTGGGCTCAAATGATCCTACTGCCTTGGCCTCCCAAAGTGTTGGGATTACAGGCATGAGCCACCATGCCCTGCCACAAAAGGAATGAATATATATATTTTTTAAATGGAAAGAACACTAGTGAGTGGTGGGATATTCTAATATATGTGTAACTGGAGGCCCATAAGGAGAGAGAAAGGAACAGAGAAAGTGTTTAAAGAAATAACAACCCCAAATTTCCCAAATTTGATACAAACTATAAAACCAAAGATCCAAGAAGCTCAACACACCCCAAGCAGAAGAAACACAAAAACCAAGACACATCCTAATCAGATTTCTTAAGACCAGTAATGAAGAGAAAATCTTGAGAACAGCCAGATGAAAAACAAAAATATTTTATAAACAGAGGAACAAAAATTAGGATGACGCCAGATTTCTCACTGGAAACAATGTGAGAAAGCAGTGTAAGAAAATTCTTAAAGTAGCAAAAGAAAAAAGTAGTCAACCTAGAATTCTATACTCATTGAAACTGTTTTTCAAAAGGGAAGACAAGGCCAGGCGCGGTGGCTCACGCCTGTAATCCCAGCACTTTGGGAGGCTGAGGCGGGCGTACCACCTGAGGTTAGGAGTTCAAGACCAACCTGGTCAATATGGTAAAACCCCGTCTCTACCAAAAAATACAAAAATTAGCTGGATGTGGTGGTGGGCGCAGAGCAGAGATTGAACAGTATCATAAGGTTGGGTGCGGTGGCTCAACGCCTGTAATCCCAGCACTTTGGGAGGCCGAGGCAGGCGGATCCCGAGGTCAGGAGTTCGAGACCAGCCTGGCCAACATGGCGAAACCCCGTCTCTACTAAAAATACAAAAAGGAGCTGGGTGTGGTGGTGCACACCTGTAGTCCCAGCTACTTGGAAGGCTGAGGTGGAAAAATGCCTGAACCTGGGAGGCAGAGGTTGCAGTGAGTCGAGACCATGCCATTGCCCTCCAGCCTGCATGACAGAGTGAGACTCCGTCTAAAAAAAAAAAAAAAAAGAAAGAAAAAGAACAGTATCATAAAAAATGCTCAAACCTCTCCCCACAAATGGTGCTGGAACAAAATGGTGCTGGAACAAGTGGACACCAACATGCCAAAATAAATAAAATCTAGACACAGACCTTAGTCTCTTCACAAAAATTAATTCAAAATGGATCACAGACCTGAATGTTAAATGCAAAACTATAAAACTCCTAGAAGACAACCTAGGAGAAAATCTAGATGACTGGGTTTTGTGAAATTTTTTTTTTTTTTGAGACAAGAGTCTCACTCTGTTGCCTAGGCTGGAGTACACTGGTAGAATCTTGGCTCACTGCAAACTCTGCCTCCTGGGTTCAAGTGATTCTCGCGCCTCAGCCTCCTGAGTAGCTGGAATTACAGTTGTGCACCACCACGTCCGGCTAATTTTTGTATT